AAAAAGATCTGAAGCTCTCGACCTTGACCTCTCTAAGTGAATTTAAAACCCTGTTAAGTACCTGGCAAAAGCCAATGCAGACATGTTCCTGTTTTTAGTTTTCTAAATAGCCTTGTGATCTAACTGTTTTTTGCTGCTATTTCTCTTTATTGTCCTTTTGGCTGCTATTTTCTTTCGATTTGTTTTAAAAAAGAGAGAAACTTAAATTTATATGCCTATTTTATGCCTATTTCTATTGTTGTCGTTGTTATCAATTGTCATCATTGTTGTCCGTTGTTGTCATCACTCTTTATGAAATCAGGTCTCTCTTGTAAATGAGTCCTCGAGGCTCAATGGGATTAACCTGTCTAAATAAAGGTTGAATGAATGAATATATGTATATTATTTGATGAGACAGGATAAATTGAAACAATATTTAACAATCAGTTGCTGTTGTTCTGCAGGTGTAAAGGTATTTTTTTGTAATTTTGTTTCCCTTTAACCACTTTGGTTCAGGTGAGCTGCAGAGTTCACAGAAAAAGAATTGAGCTGTTAAAGCAGCAATGCCTTAAGTGACCACTAGATGGAAGTAGAACATCCCAAATCTATCATAGGATTCAAACGTTTACATAGATCAGCAATAATTCTTACATGTGGATGCATTAACTATTCACTGTTTTGTCTTGAACTAAGAAAATAAAAATTGTTCAGAATTTAGGGGAATCTTGCAGCTATTTTATTTTATTTTATTTTTTTACTCAAAGAAGGCAAAGTTCTACCCCTGTGGTTTCAGTATCCGCACCCATTTACAGCGCATGCCAGGTTCTGTCTACAGCCACAAACAGTAGTACCACCTTTTAAACAGGAACAGTTTAAACAGAAAATGTAAGATGAGCTTTGAAAGGTCAGCTTTCCACTTTCATACATTTATTAAAAGAGGCGAAAACAATAAAAAGATTTCTCATAACTCAAAATGAAATGATTCAAACTCTAGGTTCTTACACTTTACTGTAATTTGTTTTATTTTCAGGGAGAACCTGGTGAAAAGGGAACAAAGGTGAGTTAAATAATTTTCCTTTTTGATTTTAAAGTGACTATTATTTTATAGGTTTTACAACTTTCTACTACAACAGATTCATCAGCTAATGTTTATTCCAGATTTTTTTTTTTATTATTGCTCTTAACTGATTTGACAAAGTTAAGTCAGGTCCTCTGGATGGTTTATTTTTGTTGAAACGTTTCATCTTTTATCCAGAAGACTCTTTCAGTCTGAATAAGTCTTTTGGATAAAAGATGAAACGTTTCAACAAGAGTCCATCCAGAGGACCTGACTCAACCTTTGTTAGAGACTCTAAGTGGATTGTTGCGCATGCAGCAGGACATGCTTTTAGCTAGCCTTCACGACAAAATAAGAAGTTGAGGGATGTGTCATGTAAAGCACTCTGCATTAAAACGAAGCCAGAAATGCTGCTTCAGATGAAATGAACAACTTTGTTTCAAATCAGTTGTGTAAAATTGAATTCAAAATATTACTTCTAACCTACAAAGCCCTCAACAACCTAGCTCCATCTTATATTACAGATCTTATTGCCCCATATTTTCCTAACTGAGCACTTTGCTCTCAGATTGCAGGCTTACTTGCGGTTTCTAGAGTTTCCAAGAGCAGAATGGGAGGAAGATCTTCCAGTTATCATGCTCCTCTCTTGTGGAACTAACTTCCAGTTTCTGTCCGTGAGGCTGACGCCTTGTCCAGTTTGAAGACTGGGCTTAAGACTTTTATAAATCCTATAGTTAGGGTTGGCTTGTAGACTTAGACAACTGGAGGACAAATTGATCTCATGTCTTAAAATTAATTGTTACAAGTGAATAGTTTTCATTTCATACTATTTATAACTTAACATGTGATTTTCGACCTGCCATTGTGTATCTGTTCCCCTCAAACCCAGCCAGTCGAAGCGGATGGACGCTTGTCCTGGGCCTGGTTCTGCTAAAGGCTCTTCCTCATGAGGGAGTTTTTCCTTCCCACTGTCGCCTTCATGCTTGCACAAGATGAGAGTCTGTGATGGAAAGCAGTCTGCTCCTCAGATAAATAATGTTAATAACTTACTTTTTAATTATATGAATGTTTCTGTTCAGTGCCCTGAGACGACTTCTGTTGGGACTTGGCACGTATAAATAAACTGAATTGAATTTGAAATTAAAACAGTTTGGGGTTTCTCGAGTCAGCAGTGTAATCTGACTAATAATCTGAATTTAAAAGTGAACTAGTGGCAGGTTTAAAATCCCCCTCCATTGTATGTGACCTGATGCCTTGAAGCCTCCCCACGAACAGAAAGTGGTTTGTTCATCTGTCTCTGCTTCTGAAAGAATTATTATATTTTTAAAATAGGTACAGGAAATATGGAATTTTTCATTCTGTTGGACCAAACATGTAAACCCAAACATTTGCCTCCTCTAAAGTCATTGCCATAAATGTATTTAAACAACTTCATAGGTCCATCTTGCAACCAAGTGTGCAGCTGGAAAAGTCAACTAGCTGCTTTTAGCATTTCTCTTACATGTGCATCTTCGTTCCAAGCTCAGGGAAGCGTGTTTTTCAGCCTTTTTTTAAAAATCTCAGCTAAAATGTACATCTTGTTCTTCCAGGGCAACGCAGGCTTTGGATATCAGGGCATAAAGGGTGAGCCTGGCCTTCCAGGACCCCCTGGTCCTCCGGGTTCACCAGGGCCTGCTACAGAGTATTCAGTTGGAAGTGACGGGTCGGTTGTTTCAAGAGCTTCTGGACCGCAGGGACCACCTGGTCGACCAGGCCTCCAAGGACCTCCAGGAGAAGATGGCGAGCCAGTGAGTAGATTATTTTTATAAATCTGAGTATTAAACGGAAAATGGACAATTGGTTGAAAAATGTGGAACGTTTCAACGTTCACTTTGACTTTACAGGGGGATCCTGGTGAGGATGGAAAAACTGTGAGTTTGTTTTTTTCTTTTTTCTATGCAACATTAAAAAAAAATCACATCTTGCGTTAAAAACATTTACAATACAACATTGCTGAAAAGGATGTATTTTTATTTGCTTTTAATGACCCAATGCTATTTTTTTTTTTTTTTTTTCAAACAGGGGCCTCAGGGACCCCCAGGTTTCCCAGGAACCCCAGGTGACCCTGGGTCCAAAGGAGAGAAGGTAGGCGTCATCAAGAACAAAGAATAAGCTGTAGGAATACTATATAATTTGTCTTAATGAGACTTGCACATGCAGGGTGACCGTGGAGAGGGTCAACCAGGCCCCAGAGGACCCCCAGGTCCACCAGGACCAGGGTTCAGATCTGTGAGTTTATTAGTTTAACTCTATAATTACATTGCACAAGACTCATACTGTAACAACCAAGACTGCCTTTCTGTCAAATAAATCTTGAAACTTCCATTTCAGACCTTTGAGGACATGGAGGCCTCTGGATTCCCTGATCTGGAAAGGGTTCAGGTGAGAAGATTCTCCTCCGTGACATACTCAGCAGCTCAGGACTACATCTGTTCTTTTATAGAGGTAAAGAATGAAAAATGATTCAGCTGGATGTTTATTCTTTTTAACGCAGGGACCTCCTGGTCCACCAGGGCCCCCTGGGCCTCCAGGACCTCCTGGTTCTTCTGTATCAGGCACAGCATCGAGTTCTGGAACATTTGGACCCACAGGCAAGGATGGAGCACCCGGTCAACCTGTGAGTGTCAAGCTTATGCTGCCGCAACAGTGCTGCTAACAATTAAAGCAAATCAACAACCAAATCTTTGGACCTTCAGGGCTTACCGGGTTTGCCAGGTGCTGACGGCCTCCCAGGAGCTCCTGGTTCCAAGGGAGAAAAGGTAATGAATTTGTGAAAATCATTGTTTCTTCTCTAAACACTAACACAATAAGAGATTGAGTGTATTTGACCAGGAATGCAATTTCTGCAGTTTATTTTGGCTTCAGTCTTCCTGCTGTTTTAGACGTGCACTGTCTCATCCCAGAAACTGGACCCAGGGCCTGGGGCACCAGCTGATGCAAAGCGTTAACCTGAACCAGCGTTGCATTTATCAAGCTGCGATTTTCTTTCTAAGAAACTGGTTTAGTTTTCATTTCAGTCGTGGTCACTTATTTCAGAGAGGTGATGCCATCTGAAGTCATAGGAGTTAACTTTTTTTAATGTTTTTTCACTGTTCTGGAAACTTTCTGCCCTTTCCATAAAACAAATACCTGTTTTTGTTGGGCTGTGATGGTAAACGGTGTGTTGTTTTGTCTCGACACCAGGGGGATTCAGGTGATCTGGGGCTTCCAGGAGCAATTGGACAAAAGGTGGGAATTAATTTTGTTGTCCTCACATTTAAACTTAACGTTGCTTTGAGCTTTCAGGGGGATGAAGACCCCGGGTAGCGGGAGAGTCTGACTCACGTTTAAGAATCCAGGAGTGATGGTAGGATGGAGAGGAAAATGGATTGGGTCCACATCCTCAGTAATGCGGGTGTTGCTTCTGTCAGTCACGGTGAAGAAAGAGCTGAGTCGAAAGGCAAATCTCTGGATGTACTGATCTGTCTACGTTTTAACCCTCACCTGTGGTCATGAGGTTTGGTTCACGATGGAAATAACAAGATCCTAGATACAAGCTGCTGAACTGACCAGGCTCAGCCTTAGAGACCGGGTGAGGAGTGTCTTCATCCAGGGGGGTCACGGTGTAGAACCGCTGCTCCTCTGCATTGAAAGGAGTCAGTTGAGTTGGTTCGTCAGATCAGGATGCCTCCCTTTGGAGGTTTTCTGGGCATGTCCCACTAGTGAGAGGCTCCGGGGCAGACCCAGAACTCACTGGAGAGATTGCGTATCTCCTCTGATCTGACACCTTACGGTCCCCCAGGACAGAGTGTCGATGGGGAGAGGGAGGTCTGGGTTTTTCTCCTGGACCTGTTGCCTCTGTGACCCGACTAAGTGGTAGGAGATGGAGATGAAGTCAGTTTTCACACAGTTTGCCTCCTCGTTTCTTTAGAGAAGTTCTTTTTTCTTCATCTTCACCGTCACTCTCGTCTCTTAAGTTCTCTCTCCTGCAGGTCGCTGGGCTCTGGTTTAAATGGAAATGTGTGCTTTTCAATTACTAATGTCAGCATCAGAGTTGAGAGTAATTAGAGCTTCATTTTTTTAATTTTAATGATGTTGACACGTGATCCAAAAACAAAAACAAAAAAAAATAGATCTTTGTTTGTGTGCAGTGGTTTCTTCTGTCATCTAGAACTCTAAATAAACAATTTCTCTATTTAAATCAAGTCCTTCAGAGTATTAATATGTTTGTATTAAGTATAGTAAAGGATTTTCTTGAGTAGGACTTTGAAAAACTGGCATTATTAATTATCTCCTAGGGCGCTCCAGGAGAGCCTGGATTACCAGGACCAGCAGGTCAGACTGGACTGGCTGGTCTTCCAGGACCCATGGGACCGATTGGGCGACCCGGACCACCAGGGCTCCCTGGACCAAGTTTTCGTGTTGGATTTGTGAGTTCTCTTTAAAATGTTTGTGAGGATGTTAAACGTAACGATTTGTAAAAGATCAATCGTGCTTCTTGTTATTAGGGACTTCGTTATTTCAGTTCTGCAGGTCGTCTTACTGCACAAGTTTTTAAAAATGTTAAAGTAGTTTTGAAGAAGTCTTTCCAGATTTTCTGAAGGTCTTTCAAACATTCAAAGTTCTTTTGGGACTTTTTTCCTGCGCAGTTTCTGTTCCGAACTTGTTTGTTAATCCACTTAATTCTTAACTCAAACATTAAAAGGCTCCTAAACGTAACGGGTGCATCAAAGGTGTGCTTGCAATATGGCAGAAAACTATTTTACATGGACTATAGGTTTTACCAGCAGCTGGTCACAAAGACACAATTTCTTCCCATTTCTTTGTCATAAGATCGTGAAAGGGAACTGAGCGTGAACACTCGACACAATGAGATCAGCTCAGTGAGTTTATTTAGTGGCATATCAGGAACTAGACTAAATCCCTGAGGAGAAGGAGATACCATTAATATCTGGTCCCAGGCAATAGAGAGTCCTAACAATGAACGTGCAGTTCCTTACAGGTGATGGCGTTAGGTCTGTCCTGGGTTCCAACCAGAAACAATCCAAGAGATACGGTCCAGTAATCACAAGGGACATGTAGGAAAACAGCTAAGGCCAAGGTCCAAGTGTTTGGGGTAGGTCAGGGTCTAAAGCAGGCACTCAAGTAGACACTGAAAGAGGAATAACAATATTAATATTCACAAGGCTCGGAGAAACACTAGTAGGCTGAGAGCATGAACCGTGTAATGCTCCAGTGTCGGATGAATGATCTTCGCAGGCTATGCACCTCTGGCGCTCAAAGTGATTGGCAGCAGCTGTGCTGTAGAGTGACCTCTGGTGGACAAACCCTGGAACTACTACATGATTTAGTTAAATTTAAAAAAAGACAAAAATGGACAGCACAGTTTGATTAAAAAAAAAAGGCTTTAGCTCCAACATGATGATTTCCAAAGAGCTGTTAGCTGAAATATTGACACACAGCTGATGGTCAGCTGAAACATGATGCACCCCTCAAGTCCTGTCTCAGGTCTTTGATGGATTTCTTTACTTTTTCTTAAAGATGTGACTTTCAGATATTCATCTTCTGGAGAAAAACCTTCTGAAAGATCTTCAGAAAGAGTGAATAAATGTGTTTAAATACCAGCTTGAATATGAAGTCTGGTTCCTTTTTTTATTAAAATGTTATGAAATGAGTGATGGCTCAAGACTTTTGCACAGAAATACTGTATATATTTTTCTGCTTAAATATAGAGCATACAAAAACAAATGTAAAGTGGCCCACAATTTTGATTAATTATTTCTTCTTTTCCTTTTTAGAAAATGTTTTAAAAGTTGAGCTGTTTCTTGTAAAATGTTTTTTTAGGAAGACGTAGAGGTGTACCGTAAAAGTTCCACCGGCATCAGAGGACCAGAAGGATTACAGGCATGAAATCTCATTAATTTCTAATAATAAATCCTGAATTACTTGTTAACCACTTTCATCACATGTTTCAACTTCTAACTTAAATGTTGTCTGTAGATTTTAAGTCATTTTACTACAGATAAAAGTGCATCTAATTTAAGACAGCAGTGCTACTTCCAACTAAAGTTTTTATTTTTTCATAAAGAGATGCCTTTTACTGGCTAAAATCAAAGCTTTCTATGAAAACATGACTGTGAAAGTTTTACTGGAAGTAGTTTGATTATTTTTAATCAAAGCAGTCATGGAGATGCACATGAACAAACAATCATTCAAATGTTTTGTGCTTTCAGGGTCTGCCTGGTTTACCTGGACACCCAGTAAGTACAGACGATTATCTTCCACGCACAAACGTATATAAGGAATTACATGATCGCCTGCTTTTCTAGCAGCAGATGACAAAAATTAAAAATGTTATCATCATATTAAGTATTTATTAAAATGTATGCATAAAACATGATCTTATTTGACAATTTTATTTTATTTTTTAACCAAAACTGTTAGTTCATCAAACTTGAACAAACTTTATTAAGCCTCTCTCAGCTGCAACATTTTATTTAGCCACAAAAAGTTTGATTTGGAGTTAAACGGGTAGTCCAATCATCTTTGAAGTGATATTCTGTCTTAATAGTTATCAATGAGCATCATCAGTCATGACATCACTCCATGTTACAATGTGACTGTACGGCTGCTGAATGTATCAGCCCACTGGGAGTTCAGGAAACTTTTGGAGTGACTGGACGTGGTGATCAGGTGCGGTGTTCAGCTCTGATACTTGGTGACGCTTATGTTCTGATAAAAGAGAAACCGTCTTTTTATTCCTGGTCGGTTTGGGACTAATGGTTAACATGGCATCCATGTTTTTCGACTGAGCATAAACCTGAGAACTAGACATCTAGAGCTTAGCCTACTTGATATTTTCCTAATGTACATTTGATATTTATGTACTCTTGGGTAAATTAATTACCCTTTCATCATCTCATTAATCAAATAAGCCACACTGAGGATACGAGAAGATCTTTCAACCCAGTTTTTACTTGCAAGGGAGCAGAATTGAAAACAGGTTTACGCGGATGTTACATCGAAGTTCCGGGTGCAAGGTCTGCCCACAGACGATATAAAGAAGAGTCTTTTTATAAGCTTATCAGACAGAGGTGAGGTCAAATCAACCTCTGCTTTCCAGCTTAGAGGCCTTGGAGTTTATCAGGTGCAGGCTCCTCTCTGTTCAGACAGAACAACTCTAACTCACGCATATGGTTCTACATTAATTTAACATTAGTAAGTGGTAACATCCATGACCTTTACCTAAATTCCCCTGCCCTCTGATGCGTATTGGATCCCCCTATTTGTGGTGTGCATATACTGTTACCTTTCCTTTTTTTTATGCGTGTGTTTCTTCTATCTAACCTGATCTTGCTTTTGCAGGGTCAACCTGGTTTTCCTGGCACAGAAGGTCCAAAGGGCGACCAGGGTCCTGCTGGAAAAGATGGGCTACCAGGTCTGGATGGTTTCCCTGGGCCTCCGGTAAGAAGGACTCTAGATCTGAACAAGACATCTACTGGCAACTTATGCAACAAACTGCTAAACATCTCATTTACAGTAGAGCGTGTAATGCTCTTGGTGCGTGACTCTTAGGAAGAAATAAAATGTATTGAAATGTGCCACCAGGTTTATGATATAGGAACAGCAGTGCTTCTTGTCTTGAAGTTTCAGTTAAAAATCCTGCTTTTCTTTGTAAGAGAGAGCTTATGGCTTTTTGAAAGTACATTTTGTCTGATTTTATTCTTTCAGGGCCAAAAGGGGGACAGAGGGGACAAAGGAGAGAGGGTTTGTATCCTTTATGATCCTGGATAAATGACATGAGCACTATTAATACAAAGCTATTGTAAGTATTATATCAATCCTGCATACAAGTTTGTTTGTTTGTGGTGTTAGGGTGAGCCAGGTCGAGATGGAACCGGATCACCAGGTGTACCTGGTCCCCCCGGACCACCAGGACAAATCATCTACCAGCCGTCTGACAATGTGAGGAACAAATAGTCGCACGAAAACAACTTCTGTTCTGAAATCAAACACTAACCACGGCTTCCCTCTTATGTCTTACTTTAACTCCAATCTCTACAGTTTGATAACTTTGCTGGCAGCACCGGACCCCAGGTACATTTTCACTTTTACTGATGTCACAGATGAAACTGACACTTCCCAAAAACAATACTTACTTAAATACTGCCTAAACCTTTAGTCCAGGGGTCTGCAACCTGCGGCTCTGGAGCCACATGTGGCTCTTTGATCCCTCCGCAGCGGTTCATTCAAGCTTTGATTAAAACTAACATAAAACTTAATTTTATTGGTTGTACAAACAACAAAAAAGGACTTGTTATATCAGTTTTCTTGTCATTTCTTTTGCAAATATGTGAATACTGGAACTAGTACAAGGAGTAAAACATACTTACTCTAACTTTATGCTTTACTTAAGGTTAAGGTTTCTTTATTTGTTGTTCACGCCACATGTGGTACATGAGGTGGACTGAAATTGTATTCACAGGGTCCCAGTTTCATCCAACAAAAGTATAAGTTGTAAAGAAAAACAGTAATAAGATCTAAGATAAGAACGAAGAAATACGCTAAATTAGGATTACTCTAAGCACAAATGGTACAAAACAATACGCCGAACAACAGCAGCACGAACATGAGTCTGTGTGAGCAGATGAGTATGAATGAACACAGCAACATGAAATAAATCAGCAGTATAAGATCGGCAGCATTTCTATACTTAATACATTTTTCCACCGTTAAAAAAATACATAGGTCTGCATAGTTCATACTTTTATTGTTAATTCAAGAAACTACCCACCTACTCCATCCCCCGCCCAAAGAATCTGGGTCTTTCATTTGTCTTATCTTGTAAAAATATCAATAAATGTAAAAAAAAATAAAAATTAGCAGTGTTTCTCTACATTATACAAGCAGGGCACCCCGCTCTGTCAACAGAACCGAGTGCTTCGCCTACCGAACCAAAATGTGACCCCCACGTCGGCCGTGCCTCTTCCTTCACACTGAACCAAGCCCCCCTGGTCAGTTAGGGGAAACACTGATTACATATGCTTAGCTTTATAATGTCACCTAGTGGCCACAGAAGCCCCCTCCAACAAACCTAAAGTGGCCCATGGGCCACCAGTTGATATTCAGTTGTAGCATGTTGTTGCAGCTCTGAACACTTTTAGTTTAGTGGATGAAAGTGTAAAAGTGCCTCTTGACCATATAGTGTGCAAACCCGTGCTTTTGTCTGTTGTTAATAAATGGGTTCAGATAATGGCAGTGTTTTTTATTTTTTTATTTTATTTTTTTAAGTTCAAGTTGTTGGTTTTAAAGTTTGGTTCACAAACTGAACCATAAAGTCCCTAAAGGTTTGAATAAAATGATAAACTTGTTATCTTGTAAGAGTCAAAGTTGACTTACAACTTTTGAAATATTTGAAAAACAAAATATTAATATGTCAAAGATTGAAAATAATCGTACACGGACTACATCTGGAGCAGGTTGAGACATAAAATTCTCCTTTTTTTAATCAGAACTGATCAAATTGTGTAGATTTGGGTCTTCGTTGCAACATTTGCCTGATAGTTTAAACACTGAAGTGTGTTGAAAAACTGTTTAATTTATATATTTTTTACCAAACAGGGCGGAGCTGGTTTACCCGGCAGAGCTGGATTTCCTGTAAGTTTTATTGATTTGTATAAACTATTGAATATTTTATTTTCTGGACAAAAAAAGACAAATACAAGATGATTTTGCATGAAACCAGTTCTCTGCTAAATGCTCTTCAAGCTATTGTACAATGAAGATAATTTATACAATCAAATTTGATTGAGTTCAAATAGATAAATTAAAAAAAAGAGGCCTGATCAATTTATTCAAATTATAATGTAATTAAATTAAATTTATCCCAAATTAATAGTTCTAAATTGATACCATGAATCATCCATTAGTTTAGATGTAAAGAGTAAAACATCCACCCTCAAGAGTCCCTACATTCTGTGTCCGAGATTGAATAAATTTAAACTTTTTTTAATGGTTTTTAAAATGTCTGGGAGATCTTCTGAGTGAAAATATTAATAACATTTGGATCTGTCGTTGATATTTAAATTGACAGTTGTTTTTGATGTGATTTAAACCCAACTCACTGATTTCATGGTCCTGAAAAAAGATTCAAAGCAACGATTTGAGTGCAACTGAAACTTTCGTTGGATTTCAAACAAACAAAACCCATTATGTATTCAAAACGTGAACGACAAACATTTATTTGGCTTTTGTACTCTAGAGCATTTTATATACAGTATATTTAAGAAATCTTCAAAAAGAAATGTATTTTTGGACTCTGTTTGCTGAACATTGGACCTTATTTATTGTAGAAGTGTAATTTCAAGGCTCTGTATTGAAACAATGGTTCAGTCAGCAGTTCTCAATCCGAACAGCACAGACAGAGATTAACTATGACCCACAGATTAACTCAGACCATAATAATCAAAGAGTTCCTCTCTGTCCGTGTTGACCTCGTTTGTTTCTAAACTTCCTACATTTATTTTACAGGGTCCTGTTGGACCAAAAGGTGACAGAGGGGACCCTGGTCCACCAGGTTATGCGCTGAAGGTAGCATCTAACTCTTTTGTTCCGCCAAATTCAAAGCAGTTCATCATCGTGCCGACGCTCCGAGTCTCAGGGCTGCTCTTGTGTTTTCAGGGTGAAAAAGGGGAGCCAGGTTTTATAATTGGACCTGATGGGAATCCTTTGTATCTGGGAGGACTAACTGGCCCGAAGGTTAGTTTGTAGTTTAACCCCATCATCTTCTTCTTCCTCTTTCTTCTTTTGTACTTGAAACCAGTGATTCATTTGCAAACCAAACGATACCAGGAATGCAAATTGCTGGGCAGGTTCTGGGGATCCTCCCCCAGAAAATGTTGAATAAAGTAATGCAATTTCCTACATTTTGCTGTATTTTAACGAGTTTACTTACATAAGTAAACACTTGATTCAGTAACTATTGTAGAGAGCGACATGACCAACAGCTCTCCTTGTGTGAATAGAGCATGCTCTTCTCTTGAGCATCCAAACCCCCTCCCCTTCCCCGCATCGAGTACTATCACCGTTGCCACTACCTTCATGTGCTTCAGTTTTCAGTTAAGTTGTACATTGAGAAGACTTTTTTTTTTAATGTAAGTAAATTGGACTGTCTTTTCAACATTTTGATTGCGCATTTTTAACAAATAATCAAAATTTTATTAATGACTCACTTAAACTGTAAAACTGATTTTCAATTTAGTTGTGCAGTCTAATTATATTTTTGTGTTTTTATTCCAATCGCTCATGACTGAACTTTTAGGGGTGGAGATTTTTTTCATTTTTTATGGTAGAAGCGGAAATGCTTACTTGAAGCGGCAGCTCGTATGCGATATTAAGAAGCTCATAACTGGCTGTTGTGTTTTAAAATTAGTTTTTGTGTAATTATTTTCAGAATACATGTCCAATATAGGTTTTTTATTTGTTCAAGGCAGTCATATTTGTTCAAAACTTTAGTATTCGTAAGCCTGAGAATTACCAAATCCAAGCAAACAGTTACCAGAATGTACCCCATCAAAATAAGAGTTACCGGATCCTGTTGCGGCAGGATCCAGCTCAAATTAAGCCCTGGTTGGAACTAACTGTCTCTGATTTTTACATGTAGGGAGACAGAGGACCTCCCGGGCCTGTTGGACCTACAGTAAGTGTATATATATATGTAAAATATTTTAAAGTAAAATAAATATCTTCTTCCCCAGGTTTATGTTGTATTATTTTTCATTGCAGGGTTCACATGGGCCTTCTGGGAAAAAGGGTGAATTTGGAATGCCTGGAAGACCTGTAAGTGTTGCCATGCTGTCTTTATATCATGTATTACATGTGTTTTGCTGCCCTGTTGTACTTTATTACTACATTATTACTACATTATTACTTTGTACCTTTTTATCACCATTAGTCCTCATTCAACTGCCTTTGTAAGTTCGCAACACATCTTGTAAATCACAGAACTGGTTTCACTGAAACTCTGAAAAAGTATTTATTGTCTCTACAACTTACTAACTTTTGAAGTCGACTTGATTCAAGATGGCTGCCATAGCAAATAGACCTTAAAAAGCTAAAATGAGGACAATAATTCAGTCAATTTTACAATTATGGAGCTAAAGTTTAGTATGGCATTAGCTAAAAGTCATTCACAACATAGTTCAAGCGCTAACAGGTTGCACAAAATCTACAACCCACTATATCTTATTTTCAAGGTTTCACCAAAACAGCTATGACTTTTGTGGAAAAAAAATGATACAAAAGTTAATTTTCACTTTAAATTGTGACTTAAGCAGCAGGTGATATTGATTCCTACAAAGGATCCTAGGTCTTAAAAATGTAAAAAAAAAAAAAAAAGAACTTTTTTAAGTGCAAAGAAAAAAGCTGATCCATGACTTTCATCCCTCAGGGTCGCCCAGGTGTGAACGGATACAAGGGTGATAAAGGAGAGCCAGGAGGAGGCGCAGGTTATGGCCATCCAGTAAGTTGTATAAGTAAGCTTATGGTTGAGGTTTATCTGTGTAAGCCTCAATCAACCCTTCTCACTTTTTAGTAGAAAAAATGTTGATCAGCAGAGAATTTAAACAAAAACTTTCCTGACTGTTGTTTTATTTAACACAGTGTGAACGCTGGAAGAGTTGCATTTATTTCCAGTCAAAATGGAGACGTTTTCTCCCAAAAAATGGTGGGACCAAAGCTCAGCAGCTCAATATCCACATTTAGTTTTTCTCCAGTCCATCCTCTGCATAACTTCAGGTCTTTCAACAATATGTCCATTGAACTGTTTGCATTTTACTATTAATAATATAATTCATAATATTACAAATAGACTGCACGGTGGTTCAGTTGTTCTCTCCGTGCATGCATAGGTTTTCCCGGGGTACTCTGGTTTCCTCCCACAGACCAAAAACATGCATGTTAGACTGATTGGTGACTCTAAATTGTCCTTCAGTGTGAGTGAGAGAGTGAATGGTTGTCTCGTTTGTCTCTGTGTCCCTGTGATGGACTGGAGACCTGTCCAGGTGTCCACCACCTCTTGCACAGTGACTGTTGGATATGGACACCAGTGACCCGAAAAGGTAGAAGCGGGTGAAGATAATGGTTGGATGGATGAGTTTACAGATATTACAAATAAAGGAATCATTCCGGCTCAGATTAAGCATATTTGGTCAAAATCATGATACTCCCACTGCCATCAAACTTAAATACTATAATACAGCTGGGATTATACCCTGGGGATTATCAAGTGTATATATAATGCTGTGTGTATATATTTTTTCTTTCTTTCTTTCTTTGTGTCCTAAAACTCAGTTTCTGCTTACGCTCATATTTAGGCAGTAGCAAATCCTTAAGAGTGGAAAATGTATTCATAATTATTAGCTATGAAATGTGTACTTTAAACCCAACCAAAATTATATTTTTCCGAGAATAATTGTCAACAGCTCACTAAATTGTTAAAAAAACAGATTTTTAAAATTGTAAATACAAAGTATTAACCTTTTATCAGGCAGTCACTCTGAATCCAGACATCAAAAGGTAAATAGCTGTCTTTCTATTAGGGAGTTCCTGGACCACCAGGGCCTCCTGGACCCCCTGGACCATCCATTCCTTTAGATCGCTTCAATGTGAGTACATTCCACATTTCATGCCTCACGTTTTATGATGAAATTTATAATCCTTTCCTGAAATTTTTGTCTTCTTGTTAATAGCGTTATGATGAAGCTTCAAGGAATTATCAAGGTATGATATCAGATGTTTCAACATGTGACATTTATCATCACAGCACCTAAACAAAACACAGCACTGTGGCTGCAATGTTACTGAGATCAGTCAGTAAACATAACAATCATATGGTGTATTTCTCTTCAGAAATTTGACACTTTTTTATTTTATTTTAACTTTTATTGTAGCAATTAAAGGGGAAAAAGGAGAACGTGGACTTCCTGGGATCCCTGGTAAGATTTACAGTTTAAATAAATAACATGTCCAAAATTATTTACTTACAGTACTGTATGTCTTTTCAACTGAAAGGGTAATGTGATTAAATTATTTTATTTTCCAGGGACGGCCACAAACTTTGATATTTATGCATTTAAGGTGAGCTAACTTGCATCTACATTAGTAGTGGGTCACTTTTCTTGACATTCTAACTAAATGTAAGCAGATAGTCCATCGTGATATTTAATGTTTCCCAACAGAATGAACTGAAAGGAGAACGTGGAGACTCTGGTGTCAAGGGAGAAAAGGGAGAGACTGGTGCTGGATATTATGACCCACATTTTGGAGGATTACAGGGCCCACCAGGACCTCCTGGTAGCCCCGGCCTACCAGTGAGTTTGTATAGATCTTCAGCTGCATATTTACAGCTTGGGTTTATCCACACTTTTTGAGTTTTTAACCTGAAAAAGATGGAATGTGTTAAAGTATTTTCGAGTCTTGTTTAAGGCTTTTGGTCGGATGTAGTGGGACATGGGTTGATGAATCAAGGCTTGCAGTAATGCTTCATTCTGTTGTGGTGAAGAAGGATCTGAGCCAAGAAACTAAGCCCCTGGTTTACTGGTCAGTCTACACCCCACCGCTACAGTCGCGAGGTGTAGACTATGACTGAAAGAACGAGGGACTCGATACAAGCGACTGAAACAGGATGGCTGGGCTCAACCTTAGAGCTAAAATGAGCCCTGCCATCTGAGGGGAGCTTTGAAAAAAAGCCTCTGCTTCTCCTCTTGGAGAGGGGTCAGCTGAGATGGTTCAGGCATCTGATTAGGGTCCCTCCTAGGCACCTCACTCTAGAGGTTTTCTAGACCTAGTAAAAATCAATTTTCTCATCCCCTTCCTGGGAACACCTTGGGATTCCCCAAGAGAAGCTGGAAAGTGCCACTGAGCAAATGGATGTTTGTTTCCTTCCTTGACCTGTTGCCTCAGGGACCAGACCAAGAATAGCAAAAAAGGATGGATGGATGGATGAATGGATTTGTCAGAAAGAGATCTTCTTAAAAACTAAAATGTTCAAACGTTGATGCTATTTTAAAGCTTGATGAAAAGAGTAATTCATTTTACTTTCTTCCAAGGGTCCAAAAGGAGACTCTATAATGGGCCCTCCAGGGCCCCAGGGACCAATAGGGCCCCCAGGGGTTGGTTATGATGGGCGTCCTGGTCCTGCGGGACCACCTGGTCCTCCTGGACCCCCTGGGTCTTCCACATTTTCTGGATCATATCAGCCTAATTACCGTAAGCAGCTTTTTCTTCAACTCACTGTTAGTGATTAAAGGCAGCAGGCGATGCAAACATTGTTACATTTGTTGCCACAGTATCTGTCAAAGCATGTGATATCTTGTTTTGTACATGTCCATCATGTGCAAAATAAATTGTTAGAAAAAGTATGTTTAAAGGTGCTCTTAGACTAAAGGGCTTCATACGGATTATATCGGTATTGTTTTTGATAATTGTTGAAAATATCCATGTTTTTTGACTAAAAACAAACAAAACTAGTAAAACATGCAATACAACAAAAGTAGATGTACAGTAGTCCCTCGTTTATTGCGGGGGTTAGGTTCCAAACCCCTCTGCAATAAGTGAAAATCCACCAAGTAGCGACGTTATATTTATTTAATTATTTATGTATGCGTAGCTACTAAATTTTACTTACTTGCTCTGCAGAACAGCAACAGCTCTCGGTTCCGGTCCGACTTGGTTCCATTTCTGCAGATGTAGCCTGCAGCAACGAAGCCCACAATAAATGTTCTAAACTCTTAAGCCTACTAATTTTAACAACATACTTATGTTGCTATATGTTATATTTAGCTGCTAAATTTTACTTACCAGCCTGTCCACGTTCGGAGGTCCTCGTGCTGGTTGAAAGAGATTAAAAATGTCCCGGTGAGCTCCGGATAGAGCGCTGGACCTTCAGCGGTTCGTGTCCCCGCTGGGAAGCCCTTGTGGACCGGCTACCAGCTCTCAAGATTCACCAATGGGTCTGGAGGTCTGGTTCTGGTCTGGTTCTGTGGGTTCATTGTGGCTTTCTGCATCCACTGGGCTCTGAAGTCACTGTAATAAGCGGCAAACTTTTTCCGATCAGATCAAACTTTCCCTCTGCATATTTCAGCAGAAGGAAATGGAGCTTCTGGGCAGGGCACTGTTGGGTTCTGGGAAATGTAGTCATTATGAGCAGGAATAGAGTGTAGGCTTATTGAGAGAAAACTACAAAATGGCAGCATCTATTCGAAGTTTTTTATTTTTTGTTAACTTTTTACAGTGCTGTCCCAATCGAGTGTCTTGTACAATTTAAACCACGATAGAGCGAGTCTGCGAAAGTTGAACCGCGAAGTAGCGAGTGACTTCTGTAAATTAATCAAAGCTACAAAAATGAAACTACTTTGTACATTTAATTTAAAAAAAGTGTGCTGACAGTCTGAAGACATCTGCTGTGAATCGTTTCATTTAGTCTTTTCAACTGTGTGTGTTTTTATCTAAAGCTGCCAGTGTCCCTGGACCCCCCGGTCCCCCTGGTCCACCTGGAAGTCCTGGTCACTCATCTGGGGTGGGTTCAATTCCATTTCTGTACTTGCATGCTTGTCCTGTCCCATCCCGTAACTCAGCAGTGTAATGTTGTAGACCTGTCAGGTTACATGTATTCATTTCGTACATTTCATTGGTGTTTCCACAGGTCGCAGTGTTGAGGTCATATGACACAATGATCGCTACGGCCAGGCAGCAGCCAGAGGGCAGTCTGATATACATCCTAGACAACGCAGACCTTTATTTGAGAGTGCGTGATGGACTGCGACAAGTCGTGGTATGCCCAACTTCATCATAAAATCAGACTTGCATGGAGTTTATCATAAGGACCAAAACATTAGCTTTAAACTAAAGATTCATACATATTGTTTTACTAAAGTTGGTTTTTGCTTTTAGGTAACTAAAATACATTTCTTATAGTTAATTTGTGTAAAAAAAAAAAAAAAAAAAATCACTAAAAAGCTGTTTTTTCTCCTCAGCTTGGAGAGTATAGTTCCTTCTTTGGAGATTTGGTATGTTTTCCAAGACGAATAAAGTAAAATAAAAGCGTGTGACATTTTGTGTCCACCGTATGATCATGAAATCTTTTTGATTTGTTTCTAAAGGGCAACGAGGTGGCAGAAGTCCAGCCTCCACCTGTGATTTTGTATCCCCACACCCCAGACCGGCCCCACAGCAACGGAGCGGGCCATTACTCGGAGAGCGGTTCTGTCATCCGACCTGTTGAGCCCCCCCAGGAGCGACCCAATCCACCGGTGCCTGGTCCTGCCGTTCGTGTTGAAACATTAGACTCAGGGGTGAGTAGACCTGATGAAAACACTTTAAAATGACCGTGTTATTCGAATCCTTTGTGTTTTCAGTTTGTTTTAGACCTTAAAAATATGTTTAAATCCATTTTAGGTAATCTAATCATTGATGTATAATGATTTATTCAATGTGTGCTAAAATTAAGAAATAGAAAAATGTCCAGGTGTGTCAACCTTAAACGATAAATGGTTTACACCATTTTAAAATGATCTCAAGAAAAAAAAGAAAAAAATTTGTGAAATTTGTGGCATGCAGAGAATTATTATGGACAATGAATATGTAAAGGAATAGATAAAATTATGTACAAGAATGGGGAGATTCCTTAACCAAAACACATTCTTTCGTGCTGGCCATGGAAGTCCAACTTATCTCAAATTGCTCCTGGTGGATATGTAAATCAAGAAGCTCTGCTCTGTCCACCCCCAAGAACTTCTGTGAACGCTCATCAGAGTTGTACCGGCTGACAGAAACTGTAACATCTTATCAGGACTATGGAAACTATCTGGAAGTGCTCATGGACAAATCTCAATCTTGTTGTCTATGTATACATTATGTATTGTGTCTATCTACGTTGCTTGCTGTGGTGGACTTTTTGATGTCTTAAACCATGCCCTGTCAAGGACACAGCGTGAGAGACTTTTTGTTTTATACCTCCTTGTGTTTTCGTCCATTTTTCTTATCTAAGCAATAAGGGCAGAGCTTCCCCCTGTACACTTCCATCCTGCTTTAGGATGGCTGTACAGAATGTAATTTTGTCGTACTTCACTGGGCAGTGACAATAAAGTTTATTCTGATTCTGATATCTTAGATCCTTGTATACTGTTTCTTGTTAGACTTTATATTTTTACTATTTTGGAGTGTAACTGGGACCCTGTGTACACAGTTTTGTTCCACCTCATGTACCACATGTGATGCAAATGACTGTAAACTTGAACTTACGTTTAGAGCTCATTCAAGCTTTAATAAGGTTGTTAGGGGAGTGGTGGCACAGAGGTTAGAGAAGATGGGCCTGTGATCAGAAAGTCACAGGTTCAACTCCCGGTACCGTCAGCATCAAAATGTGGGTGGAAAAGGTGAAACACCTACACCTGCCTCCACCCTCATTTGCCCCACTCTCCCTCATTTGCCCCACTCTGGGCCCCTGAGCAAGGCCCTTAACCCCCACCATCTGCTCCCTAAACAGGTCTCTCTTGAAAATGAGTTCTCGTGACTCAATGAGACTACCTGGATAAATAAAGGGTAAATGAAGAAAAAAATGTTGCACAGAAAAACTCCATTAACAGGTAAAAGAAATATTTATATTCATAGATAAATGTTTCTCTCCTCCAGCTGCACCTGGTTGCCTTGAACGCCCCTCAGACTGGTAACATGCGAGGAATTCGAGGCGCAGACTTCATGTGCTTCCAGCAGGCTCGTGCTGTAGGACTGAAGGGAACCTTCAGAGCCTTCCTGTCCTCCAGGCTTCAGGACCTCTACACTATCGTACGCAGGTTGGACAGGGACCGCTTCCCCATCGTCAACCTCAAGGTGAGTCACGGCTGCTCAGGACGAATAAAGATGATCAAGTACGACTAAAGCACACGGTACTCATTGGAAAAGTGCTAAAAAAAAGTAAAAAAAACTTGTAAGTTCTTGACCAAAGTGCTTAAATCTTGGAAAATGTTCCTAAAAGTGTTGCATTTCTATTTTAATGCATTTATTAGTTTACTTTTTGGATAAATATTTTATTCAGATGGATCTTTTTTTTTTTTTAATATTCGCATTCTAAAGTCATGAACATCGGACAAAAAAGTTCATAAATTTCCTAAGAAAATAAAAACGACAACAAAAAAAATCTACTTTTTTTTTCTCTCTCTCTCTCAAATCAGTGGTAAATTTGTCCTTGAAAAAAAAAAATGGCAACAGGATGCCAATCACCACTTTTTATTTTTCCCTATGAAAATGGCCAAAATGACTGAAAACAGGTCAAATGGTAAACTTAGCAGCCATATTTGTTTACCTATACAGACCATGGCCAGCCTAATGAAGGTCAATCATCTGACTGTTTGATTTGGTTCAAGGCGGAGTCGGACACTTTGAAATGCGGGTCTGCACAAGATAAAAACAAAGTTGCATTTATCTGGAAAACTAAAGTATATCTTTCAAACTGCGTATGTGATGCAGTTCAGGATAATATTTGTTTATGTTTTCATCATTAATCTTTATAACAATGGTGATTAAAAAAAAATCATCATAAAAAGTAAATTAAAGTTGTGTAATTTAAAAAATAAACTGCTCTAACTGACAAAAATAATTTAGAATGATTTTACTTTTATGTGTGAATATTTTGACAAGAGCAATCTGAGAACATAACTTTTTAAAATTGTCAAGAAAATCTTGAAAAATGATGTTGGCCCGTAACCAGATTTATAATTTTTAGACCGGGAGAGGCCACTGCTTTTTTTTCTTGAAAATATTTTAATTTTTTTTTGTCCCATCTTGTTCTTGTGGACCCAGGATTCCATCTTGTCCCATCCCGTGGAATAAGTGTCTCATTATACCCCTCATCTTTTCACAGAATAATTTAAATTTATTGGACTGTTTTTGTTTTGTCCTTCCAGAACCAAGTGTTGTTTAACAGTTGGGAGTCGATCTTCAGTGACGACAGCAGCAAAATGAGGGAAAACATACCCATTTACTCCTTTGATGGTAGAGACATCCTCAGGGACAGTGCGTGGTGGGTGTTTGTTTAACAGACTGCCCCTCTTGGGCTGAAATGAGACAAAGCAGCTGCCTTTGTTTCTCTTTCTGATCTCTGTGTTGTTCACCTCTAGGCCGGAGAAAATGATCTGGCACGGGTCGAGCAGTAAGGGCCATCGGCAAATGGAGCACTACTGCGAAACGTGGCGTGCAGGCGACCGCGCCGTGACGGGTCTGGCATCCCCGCTGCAGAGCGGCCACCTCCTGCAGCAGATCCCCAGCAGCTGCTCGGGCTCCCACATCGTGCTCTGCATCGAGAACGCCTTCATGACCCCTTCCAAAAAATAAATCCACCATCGTGGTTTTTTTTTGTTTGTGTGTGTCTTCTGGGCCCTACTTTTTTTAAAATTATTATTATATCCAAGCAAGCATGCGTTTTGGTTTATTCCCATTTAGTTTCATGATAATGCAGCTTGCGAACACGTGGCGTCCGCAGACCCGACCCTGAGGCATTCCAGTTTGGACTCAGCATAAACGCAGAAGAGAAGGGTCAAACAGAGGGTTGCTCCCTCTCCTCAGAAACTTGGCACATCATTTTCTTTAAGGTGCAGAACAATATTGCTCCCAAATTAAGTTCTTTTGTTGTTATGTATACTTTGTTTGTCCGGTGTCTTCTTCTTCATGTTATCAAAAGTTTGCCTCTTTTGAACTGATTAAAACCCCCCTTTTTTTTTTTTTTCTAAAACCAGTGTAGAATTTGAAGAGTTGATGGAGTTCAGCGAAATCTTTAAGTTTTAAAATATTAAAAAGATAATAGATATTTATTTTTAAACTAAAGGACAAATAAATGTTTTTTTTTTACACAATGCAGAACTTTTATTTCTTTCGTCAGAAACTGTGCCTTATGACACATCCAGAAAACTCGTGAACAGAAATAATCTGCAGATCAGCACATGTTACAACCTTTTCCACAGTTTTTGTTGTTGTTTTAATATTGTTATATTTTTTTGAGTGAGAACATCTTTGCTGATTCTTCTCACTAAATCAGACACAATATAATATTTGGTCATTGTGAGTGCAAGATTTACCGTATTTTTCGGACTATAAGGCGCACTTAATATACTTTAATTTTCTCAAAAATCAACAGTGAGCCTTATAATCCGGTGCACCTTACGCATCAACTCTGGTTGTGCTTAACTGACCTCAAACCTGTTTCTTGTGGTACATGGCACTCAAAAATCTGTCAGAATGAACTTGTTTCGTTTAACGCCTTATAATCTGATGCGCCTTATAGTTCGAAAAAATACAGTACGTTTAATTTTACTGTTCAAAGATGAATGTTTTTGTTTTTAAATGTTAAAATGTTGACTTAAGAGGCTGGAAGTTTTGTCATTGCCTTCCGTTCAGTTCACAACCCAAACATCTGTGAATATGCATTTTTATGACAAACTGCGCTGTACTGTTTCACCCAGGCACTGAATTAAAGACTTTTTCAATTACCAGTGTGTCGTTCTGCACGGTAATCTGCATTGTGTTTAATATTTCCCGCTATTCACGTTACAGCAAAAAGAAATATAGGAACAATACGAATAACTTCCTGTGTTCACACATAATTTTTTTATACTCAAAATTGTTCCTCGTTGTAGCTCTAAAAAACTGTAAATTTAAAATCGGTGCCTTTCAAGCTAGAACTTGTAAAAGATATTAGGATTAAAAGTTTGGAGCTTGAAGGCATCACTTTTAGCGCCATGTCAGTTAGAACTCAAATCCCACATTTATCCATTTTTGAGAAAAAAAAAAAAAACAACATGAAGATAACCTAAAAATAATCAGTAAAAGTTAACGATTCCCACTCGGTCCCATCAAATCTGCAGGCTAAGAAGGCTTATATTAATTGACTGGGGGGGGGGGGCTCAGTGTTACAGCGACGTCTGTGGCTGACAGAAAAATAAACTTGGATCATGACTTCCTGTTTAAAACCTGACTCCGAGGAGTAAATCTTAAGGAAAAGAAGAAAGACTGAATGGCATGTTATCTATTAAAGTCTATTTGACGGACTGAGGTTGGAGTGGGAGCGAGCTGATTGGGATGGAGCAGCCCACAGCTGCAGAGAGGGATCACTTCAGTGGCCCGAGGACAGTTATATTTAGTGTGTGCTAAGTAATAACTAAGTACTTTGAAATGATGCAGAGGGGGTAATGATACTACAAGGCGACAACCAGATATTGGGCGACTTAATTACCATTCAGGGTGGAAACGAAATGCCGCTGTTGGCAGATCTCTAAGCTGTATTTATTCTCTGGTGGTGACTCAACTGAGTGTAACAAGCATGTAGTTGTGTTGTCGCACAGCTGCTTTGTTCTCTGACCTCGTGTGCTTTCCCCCCCCCCAAGGCAGAACTGTGTTTGAGTTCAGTTTTAGGTTTCAAGCTGGAAAGTGAGGGAATGGAGGAACATTTTATTATATGTTGTTCAAAACCTTCAAGGGATGGCATATTTGGTTTTGATGTATGTAGTCCAGGAGATCTGCATGCAACATATTTAATAATCTCAACATCCCCCAAATGTTGTTTCGTGACCCACAGTGGGGTCCTGACCCAAATTATGACCAGCGGTCTGTAAATTTATATGAAGTTCTGCAGAACTGCTGCATACAGATGCAGTGTTGATCCATCGGCTCCGCTTTCAAATGAACTCAAGATTCTACTCATTTTATCTAAATGTACTGTATATAAAACAAAACTCTTCTCCTTTTATTCCCAGTAAAACTGTTTATGTATTTATTAAAGTTCACAAATAAAATACAACACAATTAAGCCATGTGCATTGTTGGAACTTACTCTATCATGAAGACTGGGCAGAAGATTTTGTTTTCTTCTTTCAGCTGCTCCCTTCTTCGGGGATGCCACAGCGAGCAAACTCACACAGTTGGTTTGACGCTTGATGCCCTTCCTGACGCAATCAGCAAGCTACTTGTAGTAGAGGACTGCCATCCAAGGTCTAGCTGTGGGGTTTAAAGGCCTTGCTCAAGGGCCCAGAGTGGGGAAAATGAGGGTGGAGGCAGGTGTTGGTGCTTCGTCTTTCTCACCCAAATTTTTGTTGCGACCTCCCCATCACAGGCTCGCTAACAGGCTAACCTCTGGGCCACCACTCCCCTCATGCAAAATAACAACAATAAAAAATACCATTATATAAGAAAACAAAATCCATACTTTTTTTCTCATTTCACTTACTTTACTTAAATTGATAATTTGTGAATAAATTTTGTCATCCTGCACAAACAATTGTTTACAGAAACAGACAAAATGACTGAAAATGGTCAGCAATGGAAACATCCACGGCAGAGCATTTTGGGATTGAGAAGTCAGGTCATTTTGGTGTATTTGTACATCTTTACGCTCATATTTAATGAGTAAAACATGCAGACCAATGTGTTATGTTTACCTTTAATGCAGACCTGCATTTCAGAGCTGCACGTCAATAAATCTTTGAAACTACTGGAGCAAACTCTTTCAAACTGCACCATTTGATGTAGTTCAGGATACACTTTTATGTGTTTGATTTCACGGTTTTCTTTATGATTGAGATATTTTAGTTCTCTGTAATGGGTGGGGTGTGGAGGGCAGCAACTTTGGAGCATCTTTAGGTAAATCTAATATGCATGCACATATTTATAATTACTGATTCAGTCACTTTCATTGATGTGTCCTGGTTTTTGTGCTTTATTTGATGTACCTACATTTGATACTTGTATTTAATTATATGATTTTTAAGCATTTAGTCCTGTTTAAGTCAGATTTATTATAGAGCCTTTGGGGGATTTTTATACAGTTTGAACTTTTTTATCATCAGATTTTTTTTTTTGTTTGTGTTGTGTAGATGTTAACTAAACTTTGCACATCTTTATTATTTTTTTAATGCCACTTTTTTTGCATATTAAACTTTTTTTTTTTTTTTTTTTTTTGAGGAAAGGGCAATGAAAAGCACTAAAGCAAGTTTGGTGTAACTTCAGAGGTACTTCAAATTAAACTTTCACATTTAGTCAGATAATATGCAACACTGGCTTCGTTTTTTTTAAATCCTCTTGAGACTATTCCTTCAAATCTGCTTTTTGTCTCCTCGGTCTTTAAATATTTGATGAGGGGGGTGCTATCTAGCGTGGATATTCCTGGCTTTATTCATCATACCTGTGCTCTTTGAACACTGACCCTATGATGATAATCTGAATCTTTTGTTACCCTTTAATCTGGGATAATCTGAGTGGGAACTGGGAGGAACACTGATGAAAAGCCCAACACAAAGACTTTAGAGTCAGGATGTTTTCTAAAAGAACTGAACAGATCCAACCAATTCTGACTTTTTATGACAAACTATCTTATCTGAGTTATTGTAATTTAAATGTTCTGCTCATTTGGAAATACAAAATATAATGAGTCCCTCCAAGGCAGCCATTAAAATCAATTTCTTTGTTTTTATATTTCTACCTGGTGAGATCTTTATTACAGCATGACTAGGAGTTCATGCAGCTCAGGTCTGCAGCATTTTGTTCAAAGCTGTACCCCCCAGCCCCCACCCTTTCACAGCTCAGTACGCCTGGTCATCAGCGGCGCTGGCTACATATTCGATGTGACGTCTCCTTCCATCTTCTGATGAATTTTTTATGTCTCTTCCTCTCCCACTGACACACAGACGGGCCTCATATTGGCCCTGATCTGTAAACTGGTGATTCTGTAAATGGCAGCGTTCTCTTTAGAGCCCGTCTCTCCTCTGCGCCCCTACGGCTATAAATTACACTGATCAGAGTTTTTATTAGATTTGTTCAAAGAATGCATCATCAACAGCGATTAGGAAATATTATTTTTGTTTTATCACACATTCACAGAAGAAACTGGGGGAAAAAAAATCCGTTAATCATTCTTAGATGTCATAAAATAAGCACAAACTATCAAATCTGACAAATTATCTAACAGATAAGATGCGAAATAACAAATCGGTCATTTTTTAATAAATAAATAAATAAACATGTGCTTTTGTTTTGAAACTCCAGGTTAAAATCTCTTCCTTTTATGTGCACATTAAAAAATAAATTCTGCAGAAGCTCTCTATCCACCTCTCCTTTACTAATCATGACAAAAATGGTCAAATCTACAGGATTTACTGGGCGTTGAAGAGCTGCTCAATAATATAAAATCCAAGCGAAAAGCTAAAAGAAAGCTGAACCAAAAAAAATTAAAAAATAAAACATCTTAGTGCAAAAGCTCATAGAGACAGCAATCATTATGATCATCTTTGGAGAAACGATGATAAATATGAAAATGAAAATATTCAGAATGACAAAAGTACTGAGAAAAGTAGAGAGTATTAATTGAATAATGTCTCTGAAACTGTTCCTGTTGATTATGGCTGGTTTCTCAGGGTAAGTAGTGAAAAAGGAAACAAAGGTGTTGGTTTGATTTAGTTTATTAGGCTGCCGATCAGTGAATGATGGTCTCCAAGCTCTTAAGTTCCCACAAAATAGTGTTTTTTTGTTTTGTTTTGTTTTGTTTTTTACTTTAAAAGGCTTTAAGAGATGAAGAAAGGTTTCTGTAAAAAAAAAAAAAAACTAAAAAAAAAAAAAACAGAAGCCCAGTGAAGAACTCTGATTGAGGTTTGCGTTTTTGGACCTGAGCATTTTAGGAATACATTTTTCAGTCTTTCCTTGGATGGCATTAATCTGTCCTCCAGTTCTAATGTTAAAAATGTTGGTGTTATTTTTGATCAGGACATGTTTTTTATCCCCCACATTAAAAATGTTACTAGAACCGCCTTCTTCCACCTGCGTAATATCACTAAAATTAGAAACATCTTATCTAAAAATGATGCAGAAAAACTGGTTCACGCATTTGTCACATCTAGTCTGAACTATTACAATGTTTTTTTTATCTGTGTGTCCAAATACTTCTTTAAAAAGTCTTCAGTTGATCCAAAATGCTGCTGCCAGTGTCTTAACTGGAGTTAGTAGGAGAGATCATATCTCTCCAGTTTTAGCTTCTCTCCACTGGCTCCCTGTCAAATCCAGAATTTAATTCAAAATCTTACTTCTAACCTACAAAGCTCTCAACAACCTAGCTCCATCTTAAATGACAGATTTTGTTGTTAAATATTTTCCTAGCAGAGCACTTTACTCTCAGACTGCACGTTATCTCGTGGTCCCTAATGCTAACCACTATAATGTACAACAACACGGTGTTTTAAACTTCAGCCCGAACATGAGTCTGCAGTGAGTAGATGGGTATGAGTGAATAAAGCAGCATGATAGTCTGATGGCGCTAACTTTTTTAGGGGTGTCCCATTTGACAGTAAAACGTTTCATTAACTACGTTTTAGACTTTGAATTAGAACCAGTTTGTATAGGAGTATGGGTATGGCAAAATGGAATTGGGCCCAATTTGTTTAAGGTGGTATCTGAGCTGTGAGTAGGTGAAGAGTATTCATGTGGGAGTCTCCAGATTCTTGCAACTTTCACAGGGATCTCAACCTCTCTGTGTTGGTCTCAAAGGCGTGCAATCTTGTTGCTTAAGTTAGGAACATGCTTTAAACAAATTGTGCAACAGCTTTTCTTGAAAAAAATCCTCAAAAAGCCATCAGACCATCTCCAACTTGCTTTAAGAGCTCTGGAGCTGCATTTTGACACCTGCTCGGGAGCTCTTCTTGCAAACACATGACTAAAGCTGAACATTTTCTAGCATTTTATTTTCCTCAAAATGGAGAGATGTTTTTCACCAACTAGTCTTTCAACGATCTCAGCTCAGTGAGATACCACCTTTAGTTACAAATCAGCACACTGGTCATTTTGTCTTGGCTGGTTTCCTTTGTTCAGTGGAAGATCCTCAACTTTGTGTGGGTCCTGGTTTCTGTTCTGAACTTCATTTTTTGTTTTACCTGGTTTTTATTTGCTTTGAATAATTTGTTTGTATGTTTATTTTTGTCTTTTGCCTCATCAGTCCTGCTTTTGGGTCGTGGTTAACACAGTCATCAAACTGTCTCTGACTTCAGCTTCTGAATGTGAGGTTGTAGTAACATTTTACTGGGTTTACTGGTGCAGACTACCTTAAATCAGTGGCTGGCAGCAGTGTGGCTCTCTGTGTCCTTCAGAGGGGAAGCTTTTCATGACTCCTTCTATTCTGTAATTATTCCAACTGGATATGAGCTACTGCACTTATTGGCTGGGGTGAAATACCGGCTGGCAGGGCTTTTATTGGCTGATGGGTCACATCTCAGCCACCATCCATTGGCTGCCTGAAGGAGGGTGGGAGGGGAGCCCACTCCATCCTACCCCCCACCCCCTTGGCAGAGCTTGTAAATGTAAAGTCTTTCTCTGCCTGTTGTGACTCTGGTTTCAGTGTCTGCCTCCGAGCGAGTGGGTCAGAGAGCGAGTGTTTATTGTAGGAGGAAAAGAGAGACAAACAGGAAGGAAGGGAGAGGGCAAGCGGGGTTACTTCTCCCCCCTTTTCAGCCTCCCCGTCTCCCTGTCATTCCATCCTTCCACCCCTCTCCTGGACCACCCTTCAGCCTTGCTTCAAGCTCAAACCAAGACCCCCCTCACCACTCAAACCACCCCAGGACCCTTTGACTCTCCCTACTTCTCCATCCCACCAACCCATGAGCAGGTAAGTCCAGAACAAGTACTTCCTGCTCCTCTGTTTGCTCTTTACTTCTTCACCATCTTCTCTTCAGAACATGTTCCTCGTTGCTGTTTTGATGCATGTTTCCAGTGTTCCCTGCAGCTTTCTTCTCCCTCAGTAAAGTGACACAGTTTGCAGGAGATGCTATCAGTGAGGTCACTGTGTTTTTCTTCCTCTTTTGATATCCTGATATCCACTTCCTCCTTCTCCTCCTCCACGATCTCAGCATTTTTCCTCTCATCTTTGCCCTGCAGCTCTGGATCCGTGCAAATTCAGGGAGGACTTACAGTTTCAAGTGTCCGAAAACAAATTTCTGCAAAGTGTTTCTGCTGCTTGGTGATGGCTATTTATAGGCAGTGGCGTGCCAGCCTCACATGCTTTCTCTATAGGCCACTTCCCTAATGCCGGGATGAAGCGCACGACTCCAGAACACGAGACTGCATGAAGTGTGACGACTTCACAAAGCAGCGAGTCGCTTGATTGAATCAGGGGAATGCCGATATTAACGTGGCTCGTAAAGCATTCCTGACGACAGCAGGGAGGAGAGAAACTGCTTAGTTCCTTAGCCGCACATCCTGCGCTCCACCAGGAAGGGGAGGTGCAGTGTGTGTGTGTGTGTGTGTGTGTGTGTTAGACAGAGATAATGCTGAAGTGCTTTAGACATCAATACTTCCAGCTCAGAGATTTTCAGACCACTTTATTTACTCTGAATTTCAGACATCACACCAATGTCAACATCAGGAAAAGCTTCTAGAGCAAATGGCACAGTTGCTGAGAGCCAAGAGCTCAGGGGCCAGTCATCCTGCAGTTATTGTCATTAAGTAAGTTTGTTTTATGGTTTAAAATCTAGTTTTATTTTAAAATTAACCCATTGGTGGGCCAAACTGAGTTCAACCGTGGGCCTGATTTGGCCCCCGGGCCGCCAGTTGAATATCCTTGCTCTAGAAACTGGGTTTTTTATTTTATTTTATTGTATTGAATTTTTTTTGGAGGAGATAATAATGGAAACAAGAAAGGATAAATTTACATTCTGATTCAAGTGGTGATTAATTGCCATTGCTTGCTTGATCACCCAAGTTTTGACTTTTAATTCAAATCATAACTTGCTGTTTCAAACATGGGGCTGATTATTTATTTACTCTTTTGATTTTTACATTTTGTTATCAAGTTACCCGAGAAATTTCCTACTGTCCAGTATAGCAGATTTAGTTTTACTTCTTGTAGAAAATAATTCACTGCAGGAATAAATGTAATTTGCATGTTTATTATATGTTTTGCCACTTTAAACTTTTGGAAACATGTGTTTTTAGCAGACAATTTGACAGAAATTAATTTCTTATTTGGACTTTAAAAAAGAGATCTGCAGGAAATGTGTTGTTCTCATCATGAATAAAACGGCGTTTCTTTCATAGAATAGAAACGAACATAAATTAATATGCATTTTTTTTTGTAAATGCAGAGATTCATTAGCATCTTGTGGTTTCTGTTCTCTATATGTTAAAATTTACTGTTAAATATAAAGTAAAGTAGAACAAAATGTCCCATAATACACAAATGACCATCCAGCCAAACATTAAAATAAATAATCTCTTTCAGTGTCACTAATTACTTTTTTCAGTAACGTAAAAACTACATTAAATAACCCTGCATGGCACTTTAAAAAAATAAACTTTAACTATAAAAAGGTTAAACTTAACAATAAAGCCCTTCAGAGTTTATTAAATTCAGTTCAATTCAAAAATACTTTATTAATCCCAAAGGGAAATTAAATAATTATTAGCCTTTGGGATGTGTTTGTACTCCACTGCTGGCGCCACAATCGTAGGACTCTGGTTTAAGCTCAAGTTGAGCTCCATGTTGAGCTAAAGCTGTTTTCAATAGTTATGTTCATGTCAAAGCTTTCTGCTTGAAGCACTGAGTGGAAAACAAACAGCAATGACGGGACACATGATAGCTTTAACATGAGACTTCAACTAGAGACTATACGTTTTACAGGCCACTTGAATATAAAAGTAATTTAATATTTTAATTCTAAATATGTGAACGAATCTGTTTTGCATGTATCCAGTGGATTTAATCAGCCCTATCCTCAGACGCCATCGCTCTGCAGCAAGCAGCTGGCCCTTTTGTGTCTTGGCCCTTTTGAGCAGTTCCGGTTCTCCCGCTGGCCTGGCTCTGGGCACCGAATGTGCCGGGAGTTGCCTGGGTAAAAACTGGCTTGGTTTTTTAAATTTAATTATTTTAGACTTGTGTCAGTAGCTGGCATAATAGGTGTCACTCAGTGATGGAGTGAAGAAAGAAAACTGTCACTTCTTCTAGAAATATTGTGATTTTTCTGCAGGAAGTGCACAAGAAGTGCTACAGCTGTTGTTGCTGTTTCACCCACAAATTAATGCAGGGTTTTATTTAAATAACAATACAATGCAAAAATGACAGCAATTTAAAAAAGAAGTCACTTTAATGCAAACGTGACCTACCGTTTAACTAAATGCCATCTTTTTAAGAAGACAAATCCATTTTATCGTGTTTGAAAAGTCCTTAAATTTCTAATTCTATCCAAAGACTTTGGACTTTTGTTGCGCAGATATGTGAAAATCACACTCGTCATGGCCGACATGAAAACATAAAACCTGCCTGTTTTATTTACTTTTTCTTACATTTCTTTTGCTTGTCCACTGAATTGATGGGCGAGCTGTTCTCTTTCATGGAGCTATGCTGTAAACCTAAAAAACAATCTATTCCGTGTCATAATTCATAACAGAATGCAGGTCCCGGGCCGTGTGTGAGGAATTACCGAAACTGGCGTTGGCACCTTCTAAAAGTTAAAGCTATCAGAGAGAATTATGGGATGTGAAATCTGAGAACCGTCTTGCGAAGCTACTGGCTGCTGTAACCGAAGCTAGCGAAGGTTTTAGAGATCAATCAGAAAATCCAGACTCGATGGGAGGAGGATAAACGGAAGAGGTGGTGCAGGAACAGAGCTTTAGCCCTCCCTGCTGCTTTCCCAGCATCACTCTGGGTGGTGAGGGATGGTCATGAACAGGCAGCCCCCTGTAACCTCAGAGCTATTTTTACACTCGCTAATACAAATGGAAAAGAGAGGTGGGGGTTAAAAACCAGTTTAAGTGATGAAGTGACGAGAAAATATTATTTCTGGCCCAGACTTCAGAGTGATTTAAAAGAGATAAATTTATCCATGGAGGAAGGTTGTTGCAGAATTAGCTTTCTGTTGTTTTTCATGAGCTTGTGGCTTCAGTGGGCTCATTCACGATTCTGTCTGAAACCCACTCCGTCTGTTGAAAGGGTTTTAAATGAGACCCATTTCCAAAATTCCAGTGTTCCTATAATGTCTCCTGTATGAATAAGAATGTGCCACAACTGTCAAATGTCTTCTTTTTTTATTATTTAAATGATACGAGCATTTTAAAATACAGTCACCGAGTGGGATTCAATCCGCATTAATCACTGAAGCTTAAGGATGTGTCATTGATTATTGATTTCTCAACAAACAAAAAAAATCATACAGTAGAAACTATATTTTAAAACGTAATCATGTAAATGTCTAATAAAGACACTATAACGGAAAACTGAAAGTTTAAATTGAGCTCATAGATGTGCCGAATCATCCAAATCGTCCCGACTTGTAACTCCAAACTCCTCTAAATTCAAAATCAACACACGTTTGATAACGATGTGCAAAAAACATAACGCAAAGGTTGCAGACCCCTGCGTTAAACTGTTTTTATTTGAGGTATTTTAGGCTGTATCATTTGACAGAAGTCTAGCAGATTATGTTTTACAGCTACTGGGTGACTGACTTGAAGAAAATCCTGTAAGGCTTGCAAGGACCATGAACTGGTCTGAAACAATCTGCTACAGCCTAATAGATGGCAGTAACACGTAAGAAAGATTATTTCTAAAGATAGTTCAGATGATCTTAAACAGATTTCTAAATAAGTAATGTCAAAAACACAAACAAGATGCAGATAACTCATCTTTAAACCCTCATGCCCACCTGCTAATCTTAAATATCTGATTATTTCCTAGAGAGTCGATAACAGGCACAAAAACAGCCGTAACTGGTCCCAGTGGTTGCTATATTTCTAAAATGGTTTGACCTCTAAATCCACCCCACTCATGAACAGACTGCAGTTATATCATTGTGTATAAATGCACTGTGTTATTTATCCATTATAGCCACAGATCCTCTGAGATGACCCAGACAACGTGATGAATGGGAGCCTTTTGACTCAACAATGAGGTTCCTCTAGAGCTTGTTGCCTTTCAGGTCTGCAGAGGGGAATTCTCTACACACTCCACAAGCATCCCACACACACACACACACAACTAAAATGTCTGTAAAATGTAACTTTGAAAACTTGCAACCAATTCACCTATAGCCACAAACATCAGAACAGCTGAGATTAGAGGAGTGAAACGAGCATTTTAGACATTGACGACTGCAAACTGAATATCAGGATCACCTACTGTGTCGAAGTTCAAGACAGAACTGAGCGTAAATGCCTGTGAAATCATTCCATAGCATGAAGACAATTGTTTGACTATGATACATCAAAGCTCATGCTCAATTAAAAATCCAACAAAGTTGAGTCCAATCATCTGGACAGTTTATTTTGTTTTTTGTTGAGACATTTTGTCCTTGATCCAAAGGATTTCATCAGTCCCAGGAGCAGCAAACAAACTCAGTCCCACAAGCAGCACACTCATATAGTGGACCAGCAACTTATCACCAGCAAACTGGTTGGTCCACTATGTGAGTGTGCTGCTTGTGTGACTAAGTTTGTTTGTGGCTCCTCGGACTGATGAAGTCCTTTGGATGAAGGAGGAAACGTCTCAACAACAAACAAACAAAAAAAAAGAAAGTCCAGATGACCTGACTGAACTTTCTTGGAACTATGATACAGTTATTTC